TAATGATATCTTTAATTCTCTAATTTTGGTGAATATTTTTGTCATTTTTGGTAAAAAGTGATATTTTCGACTTCTTGTTAAAAACGACAAGTCCAATTGCTTTGATATTATTACATATATAGGTACTACATGTGGACCTCTCTCAGATTTTTTGATTTTGTAATGATATCTTTAATTATCTACAGTAATTTTGGTGAATATTTTTGTCATTTTTGGTAAAAAGTGATATTTTCTTCTTGTTAAAAACCACAATCATTTATGGTGAAAAATGATATTTTTTGAACAAGAATCGAAAAATGATCGAGTGAGGGCAGTAAACCATCGAAAAAGATGGCAATTGTACAACCACATTCGCCAGTCAACAGCCTCCCCGCAATAGGTCGATAATTTTGTAACTTGGAAAAATGCAGCAGTGTGGGTCAAAGGTCATCAGAGGTTAAAAGTGAACGTTTCGAAAGGGTTACATTTCTATATCGAAATTTAATTTAAAATATCATGTGACAAGCATTCATTGCCACTCACCTCTGACTAACTCTTCGTCTTGTACAACATTTTCTACAATATCCTAAAAATGATTATCAATGTCACCTTTTTAATAAGAGTCTAATAATTCCTGATTTGGCTTTTCTATGTTGCAATTCTTAATTAACTTGAAAAAATCGGTCAATCCAATGCAAAGTCTGGCTATAATTCACCGATTGATTTTTATGTTGTTGTTTTGTTTTGTTTTTTGTTTCTTTGCAAAGACAGTAACCTTGTTATGAATGAGTCACTTTTGTGGGGCTGATGACGTCACGGTTGTCTATTTATAACTCTTAAATACAAGTCAAACATAGAGGACAGCAACCATGCTGCAATAAATACTCAGCACACGTGTGTATCAAATATGGATCCAGTAGCGGGTAAAATTAGCCCGACGAGTTGCGTGAGTAACGCCCTCTGCGGTGCTCCAAACCCAACACAAGTACTTGAATTTCATGATTGACTGTGTAACCATGACAACGAAAATGAATATTGCAAGAAGGCGTGAACTTAGTGAGGTCTGATGCCGTTCGGCCAGCGAGGGCGCTACTACGCTACGTGTCAGGCTGGGGGTAGGATTTATTACTAGCAAAACTAAATCCAGTGCTCTCCTATTGATATGCAATTTGTGTTACAGAACATGCAAATGTACTGACTGACCTTGGGCGAACACTAGTAAACTACAACTATTAGACTAAAATAATGACTATGTAACAAAAGTGCCCCTGAAAAACAATCCAAAAAATACATTACACGAATC